CACACCTGTGCACACGAAGCCCACGGCGGCTCCGGAAGCAGCCTGCCTCTTTTTCACACCTGGTAATGTTTAACTCTTGAAATAGGGACACGTCACCGTTCCCTGATTAGGGGGAACCGAGTGAGGCACCCTCGTGCCAAGGTCAAGATTGGATCCTTCCTTTTTATAAAAATTTTGATGTTTTATTCATCTGAACTTTATCCATTTTTGTTTATTTTTACAATATTATTGCATTAAAATGTTTGTATCTTAGGACCAGCAGATGGCATAATGGTTATGTCGCTGAACTCCCATGTAGTCGACTACAGTTCAAGTCCTGGACCCAGGGCTTAAAACTCACGACTAGTGCATGCCCCACATCCCGAGACGGGATGGTGGCATGGCCGTCCTCCCCGGGGGTAATTTTTTTTTTCTTTTTTAGATGTTTTTGCTATAGGGCGCATGCGCTCGCCAGACAGAGAGCGAGAGAGAGAGACAGAGAGACAGAAAGCGAGAAATCACCCCCCAGGGGGGATGGCCACACCGCGCAGTCCCTTCTCCATTCTCCTCTTGGGATCTTGGGCACGCACGCACACGCGCCCAGTGTGAGTTTTAAGCCATCGGGTCCGGGACGTGAACCGTGGTCGACTACGTGGGAGTCCAGCAACATAGCCATTACGCTAACTGCTGGTCCCCCGGGGGTAATTTCTTGCTTTCTCTCTTTCGCTGTCTCTCCCACAAGACAAGCCCATGCACCCTATAGCAAAAATCTGAGGGGAAAAGTGTATCTTCTGATGGTAAGTTTTGTATCTGAAATTCCTCACTCGCTTCACCCTCATCTCACGCCTATCTAGCCTAAAAGGCAGCCAGATCCCCGACTTTTCCGTCCAGGAATTGGAGCGATGAACCTGGTTGGCAATGGCCAATGGGGCAGATGAATAAAGTACGAAATCCTCACTCATCCTAAACCCAGCAGCTCAGACTCTGGATTTTCAAGTTTTCTCTGTACCGAGTGCTGGGCTAAACACTCATAATCCTCACAGCATCCCACGTTAGGTATTGTGTGTACAGAGGAGGGACCCAAACTTGGAAAGCCCGGCTTCACTGGCCCCTCGGAGGTGGCAGAAGTGGATTCTGCTGCCTGACTCCCAAGCCCCTCCCCTGTTCTCTGGCAGAAGCCATCTTTCTTCCCCTGGGCTCCCAGAGCACAATGACCCCTTACCAGTGCCAGCTTTGACTTCATTCTGCTTTCAAGGTTTTGGGGTTTACAAGTTGACCTTCCCCACTGTTCCTCCACTGTTCCTTCCACGAAGCCTCCTGGTGCCCTGCTCTGGCAGGTACTCGGGGAATGAGCCTCTGGGCAGCAGCTCTGCAGATGCCCTGCTCCCAGGCCTGGCTTTCCTCCTCCCTTTCAACTGTCCAGTTTCCCTGAAGTTCACATTTCTTCACCCTCCTGGAACCCTTAGCACCTTTCTCTCTCTCTCTCTTTTTTTTTTTCCTGCTATAAGGCATGTGATCTCCAGAAAGAAACAGAGAAAATAGAGAAAGGGAAAGTGAGAAATCATTCCCCAAGAGGGATGCCTAAACTACAGCCCCTTCTCCTCTATTCTCCTCTTGGGGTTTTGGGCACACACACACACCCCTGGCATGATTTTTCAAGCTGCCGGGTTGGGACTTGAACTATACCATCAGCCCTGTGGGATCCAAAGCCTCCACCATCCACATGACCTGCTGGCTGGCCCCAGCACCTTTCTCATTTCTTCCATGCTCTTCTGCGATTGGGTGGGGGTGAGGAGGCAGGATGACCAACTCAGGGTTTGTAAGAGTGAAAGACATATATTTAATAGGAAAACAGTGACACAAGAGGCAGAGGTGACCTGTGAGACCAATGCCCCATTTTTCTATTAAAGGCACATCTGTTTGAAAACCCAGTGTCGCTGAGGTATCACGGTCCCTGTGACACCAGCTTCCAAATCCTAATGCCCAGTGATGAATACAACTTCATTCATACTGGTTTTCCACCTCGGAAGCATCTTCTGGCTTTTTCACTTCTCCTTCTCCCAAGTCTACGCGTCCTGGCTCTGACTCTTCTCTTTCTGCTTCTGACCGTGCCCTCTCTAATCCCGACTCCTTTCTGCTCAGTTCTGCCGCGAGTTCCTGGTCTAACTGTCCTGAAGGCCTCCTGTAAATCTCCCTCGATTCTCGTCTGCCCACGTCTGGAAAAGGCCTGCCCGTCCCTCCTGATCTTGCACCCAGTTCTGAGGACCGGCTCTCAGCAGCTCCTCCCAAGTCCCTCCTGGTTCTCACTGCTTCCGCTCTCTGCCGTTTCTTCGCCATGTCCCCCAGAGCATCCCTGGATGCCCCCTCGGCGCCCTGGTCGTCCTCGTCCTCTGTCTCTTTCTCACTCTCCGTGTGCTCTCTCTCCCACTGCTTCATCACCTTCTCAGGCTCGTCTCTCTCCCTTCTTGTTTCCTTCTCCTTTACCATCTTCTTCTCTTCATTCAGTGCAGCATCCCCTTTGAGCAAACGAGATAAACGAGAGAAGATGCGTTTGTTCATTGCTGAGCCGGTGCTGTGTAGATCATGCCACTCAGCCACCACGGATGGGAGAGAACTCTCACAGCAGTGGCACTGCAAGTAAATCAAATTTGAACAGGACAGTCTGGCCCCAGAACATCCTTTTTTGTATAAGAAATGGCAGTGGGGGGACCAGCAGTTAGTGTAATGCTATGTCACTGGACTCCCATGTAGTTGACCGTGGTTCAAGTCCCGGACCCGGTGGCTTAAACTCATGCCAGGCACCTGTGCGTGCGTGCCCAAGACCCCGAGAGGATAATGGAGGAGAAGGGATTGCAGCGTGGCCATCCCCCCGGAGGTGATTTCTCGCTTTCTGTCTCTCTTTCTCTGTCTTTCTGGTGAGCGTACGTGACCTGTAGCAAAAACCTCTCCAAAAAAAAGAAAAAAAGAAATGGCAGTGGGGCCTGGCACGTGTCATGGTGGTTGAGGCACCGGACGCCCACATAGACAACTGCAAGTAAATAAATGAATAAATAAATAAGTAAAATTAACTAATTCTTAAAAAGAAAGAACAAAGGAAAGAAAAAGAAAGAAAGAAAGAAAGAAAGAAAGAAAGAAAGAAAGAAAGAAAGAAAGAAAGAAAGAAAGAAAGAAAGAAAGAGAGAAAGAAAGAAAAAGAAAAATGGTGGCATAGGTGCTGGGGAATGACAGCACCCTCATTCTGCCCCTTTCTCTGTCCCTGGGGAGCACACTCACTATTTGTTGGGAGGTTCCCTGTACAAATACGAGCAGGAAGTTCAGCTGAGGGCTATTTTACAACCAAAGGACACGTGCCCGTGGTATTTTAAGATATGGAGAAGAGCCACCAGTTCCCTCCTGAGTCCTCACTTTCTTTTCCTAGAAGCCGCCTCCCAGCTGGAGGTGAAGACAAACGCAATGCTGCCCCCTGCTGTTCTAAACGGAGCGCGTCCGGCAGCAGCCAGCGGCCACAGGGCCTTCGAGGTTTGGGGAGGACGCTTTTCCCTGCACATGGCCTGCAGAGTGGAAGGAGGCTGCTCTTCTGTTCCTGGAGCTTCTTAGAGCAGCTCCAAGAAATGTGGGAGCAGAGATAGTGCCCATCTTTGAGGAGATCCAGCCAGCATAGGGCAGACAACAGGCTGCTCAGGTGCTCAAAATCTTGCCATGCCTGGCTGGAGCTTCAGCCTTTGAGCCTGGCGGACCACAGCCCGGAATCTGTGCAGGGGCTCTGTCCTGGATTCTCACCCCCTAGCTCCCCTTCACTGCGATGTGGTGGAAGTGAAGACCACAGAGCAAACAGCAGAGGTCACCAGCAGCAGTATGGAACCATGGTGAACACGGTTCTGGACCCAGATGGCCAAGACCTCAACCTCAACTCCTCCACCTGGTGCTCTCATCTGCAAAATCAAAGGAGTGTTTCTTTTTTTAAAGTTGTTGCTATAGGGCACATGTACTTGCCAGAGATAGTGGAAGGAAAAGTGAGAAATCACCCCCAAGGGGGAATGGTCATGCCACAATCCCTTCTCCTCCATTCCCCTCCTGGGATTTTGGGCATGCGTGCACAAACACACTCTCAGTGTGATTTTCAAGCCTCCAGGTCCGGGACTCAAACTATGGTCAACCACGCGGGAGTCCAGTGCCTTAACCACCATGCCACCTGTTGGTTCCACTGTTTCTTTCATAGCATTTTTGAAAGGTTCAAAGGAGTTGGTGCACACAAAGCCTTAGAAAATGCTTGAGTGGGAAGCGCCGAATGGAACCCAGCTACCACGCTCATCACCCTAGCTTCCTAGGCCCTTCCTTGCTGACTCTGTGGGGCTTGGGTTCTCAGCCACCTTCTGCTTCCCCTTCCTTCTTCCTTCCTGCCATGAGAGCCTGTAGGCAAGGGATCAAAGGCCTCTTTACTCCCTGGAGGCCTTGGGAGAAAGAATGTGTTGAGGCTAGACCAGCCAGTTGGAGGGAGTACAGAGTATGGAGTTGCCTCTGCAGCCCAGCTCCCCCTCTGCCCCAGCACCTGGTCTACCCATGGCTGGCCCCGGGGCAGACCTTCTGGGCTCCAGCCCTCCCAAGCCTGTGACCCCTGCACTCACCTTCCTTGGCCTCCCTTTTCCCCCCCAAACAGCACCTACCTCCTGGGGGGGAGTGGACAGAAGGAGACATTTTCCCATTTGGTGCTTACCCCAGTGCCTGGCATGCTGTGAGGGCCACACAGCGTAGTGACTGTCATTCTGCCTCTGTGACTTCGCAGGAAATGTGTGCCCTTTCGCACCTCTCACCTGGAAACTCCTGAGTGACTTTTGGAGCAGAGGCAGATGATGCCTCTTCTATGAAGCCTTCCCTACCTCCCCAGAGAAGGCCTGTGTCCTTGCGTTCTCATGGCAATGCGCTTCCGCCCCTGTGGCACCTCACTGGGCTGTGGGCTCCTCCTGCTTCTGGGTCTGCCATGCCACCCGGGCTGCTGTCTCCCAGCACCTAACACCTTTTTGGTACATGACAAGTGTTCAACAAATACTTGATGAATTAATTGAAGCAATGAAGAGCAGATTGTCAGGACAGACAGCCGGGGTTCCATGGTCAGAGGTGAGGCGGAGGCTACAGGTGGCATGGCTGTCAGGAAGCCCAGTGGGCGGCACCAGCCCAGACTGGGGAGCTGCAGGAAGGTGCAGGCAGGGCTGCCGGGAGAGAGAGAGCAGAGAATGCTGGAGTGGCCTCCTTTGGGGTTCTGGGAACTCACCTTCCTCTTTCTTTTCTTTGAGGACCTCCCTGTAGTTCGTTTTCTTCAGTTCCTCGATGATGCCCTTGTTGGCGTCGTCTAGGGCCTGCGGATGGTGGGGAGAGCTGTGAGCCCTCTTCACATGAGCCCTGTTTGGTGCCTATGCCTCTTCCCCTCCCCGCCCCGGCTCCACCCCAGCAGGCAGCCCTCTCCTGGAATCCAGCCACTCGGAGGTCTCTCGTCCTGAGGTTAATTTATTGCCATGGCTCGGTTACCCACACTAAGTGGTGTGAGGGACACGCGGCCACGAGTCGGTCACAGTTCACTCCTCCTGGGCTTTGGCATGTTTTTGGGAGTCCTGTCTACTTGTTCCTACTTTTTTATCTAAAGCTGCTCTTGGTTTTAGTGAATATAGAAAACAATCCAAGCCCGAAGCTCTCAGCAAGGCAGCCAGCCAAGAGGGGGGACCCAGACACAGCTTGAAGGGATGGGCTCACCCACACTAAGGGTTCAGAGGGGCGACTTGGAAGAGGAGGCATCTAAGCTGAAACCTGAATATTACAGGCGACAGGGAGGGGGCTAGAACTTTCCAGACAGAGAGAGCAGTGTAAGCTAGAGGCTTAAGAAAGCCAGTTCCGGGACCAGCAGTTAGCGTAATGGCTATGTCGCTGGACTCCCATGTAGTCGACTGTGGTTCAAGTCCTGGACCCAGCGGCTTAAACTCACGCCGGGCGTGTGTGCATGTGTGCCCAAGATCCTGAGAGGAGAATGGAGGAGAAGGGATTGCGGCCCCTGGGAGGTGATTTCTTGCTTTCTCTCTTTGGTGAGCGCACGCACTTGCCCTCTAGCGAAAACCTCTCCCCAAAAAAAAAAAAAAAGAAAGAAAGAAAGCCGGTTCCAGGGAAGCTTCTGGCTGGAGCTGGAATACAAGGTGAAGTGGGGCGACTGACCAGCAGGAAGAAAGGGGGCCCACAGTGAAGAGGCTGACAAAGGCCTTCCCAAGCCCTGCAGGAAAAAGCCAGGAATGTTCCACCACAGACACCTAGGGACTAGCGAAGGTTTCAAGCAAAAGAATGAGGAAATCGCACTGTGTCGGAGACTTCAACAAGTTGGTGGGAAATGGAATTAAGGTACAAGTTTATTTTGGTGCACAAAAATTTTGAAATCCACAATTTTTTAACAATACATATTTCCCATGAACTTTTTTTTTTCTTTTTTTTTTTTGGAGAGATTTTCACTGTAGGGCGCGTGCGCTCGCCAGACAGACAGACAGAGAGAGACATAGAGACAGAAAGCGAGAAATCGCCCCCCAGGGGGGATGGTCACACCGCAATCCCTTCTCCTCCATTCTCCTCTCGGGATCTTGGGCACGCACACACACGTGCCTGGCGTGAGTTTTAAGCCACCAGGTCTGGGACACGAACCGCGGTCGACTACGTGGGAGTCCAGCGACATAGCCATTACGCTAACTGCTGGTTCCCTCCCATGAACTTTTTGAAGACCCATTGCATTTCTTGTATCCTGGAGGAAGTAATTTCTTTCTTTCTTTAAAATATTTATTTATTTATTTATTATATTTAATTTGATGAGAGAAAGGGAGAGAGCAAGCCACCAGGTCCAAGATTGGAACTGTGGTTGGGCATGTGGGAGTCCAGCACCTTAACCACCACACCACCTGCCATTCCCTGTTTCTTTTTCTTTTTAATAAGGTGATTTTTAGAAAATCGTTTTATTAGAACCAGCAGTTGGTATAATGGCTATGTCGCTGGACTCCCATGTAGTCGACCGCGGTTTGAGTCCTGGACCGGTGGCTTAAACTGACGCCAGGCACATGCGCGTGCGTGCCCAAGATCCCAAGAGGAAAATGGAGGAGAAGGGATTGTGGTGTGGCCATCCCCTCGGGTGGTGATTTCTCGCTTTCTGTCTCTCTGTCTCTGTCTTTCTGGTGAGCGCACGCGCCCTATAGCAAAAATCTCTCCAAAAAGAAAAAAATTATTTTATTTATATTTATTTATTTAAATTTGACCAGAGAGGGACAGAGTGAGAGAGAAAGAAACAGCAAAAGTGAGAGTGAGAAAGCAAGCCACCAGGTCTGGGACTGAGAGAGCAAGCCACCATGGTTGGCCATGTGGGAGTCTAGTGCCCATCACCACCAAGCCACCTGCTGGCTTAGTGATTTTCTTTTTTAAGATTTATTTAGTTAGTTAGTTTTATTTGCTATAGGGCACAGGTACTCACCAGAGAGAGACAGAGAGAGAGGGAAAGCGAGAAAGCAAACCACCAGGTCCAGGATTCAAGCCACGGTGGGCCACGTGAGAGTTCAGTGCCCCAGACACTACATCACCTGCTGGTCCTGGAGGTAATATTTTTCAAATTCCAAGTCCTAGAATCAGTTTAGGTCCCAATCAGCTTTAAATTAAATAAAATAATAATAAAAAGGAGAATACGTTAGGAAAGGATGATCATGCACAGTACAGAGCAGAGGTGAACATGTTTTGAAAACGTGTGTTCGTTTTTCTCTTGCTTCAAATAAAGCTATGTGTTGGGCCAGTCACTGGCACGCTGGTTAAGGTGGCTGGATCCCACATGGCTGACTGTGAGGTTCCAGTCCCAGACCTGGTGTCTTGAAAGAAAACACACCAGGCACAGGTGTTCGCATGCCCCAAATCCTGAGAGAACAGAGAAGAGACTGTGGGCCTGGCCATCTCCCTGGCGGATACCTTCTCACTTCCCTTGTCTGTCTTTCTGTTTCTCTGGTGAGCCCACACTGTAGCAAAAAAAAAGAAAAACCTAAGTGCTTTGGGTGGCTACACAAACCACAAACCGATGGCAACAGCAGACATCTGAGCCCCCACCCCCCCACCCCCGGAAGCCGGCGTGGGAACAGCTGTGACTGGCGGCAGGAAGGCCAGCGTGGCCCACTGGTCCGGGGCCCTGCGGGGCACTCACACTGATGATGGCCTGCTGCGCCTCGTTGTTGTGCACGATCTTCGCTCTCTCCAGGGCCTTCTCGAAGTTGTTCACAGCGGACTCGAAGTCTCTCAGCTTCACTAGGGGGTGAGGGGAGACGGCTCAGCGCAGCCGACCGCCAAGTTGTGTGGCACGACGGAGCCCCTGGTCCACCCAGTTAGGTCCCTGTGAGCTGGAGCAGCCCCAGGCCCATGCGCCAACTGTGAGCCCAGAACCTGGACCCGAGCCCAGGTGTCAGTGAAGGAAGGACCTGGGGTAGGAGCCCAGGCCGGGACTGTGTGACCACGCACTTGGCCGTGTAGGCTGGCCACACGTATCACACCACCAGCTGGCCCAGGAACTATTCTTACTTCCTTTTTTTTTTTTTTTTTTCTTTTTGTCACAGGGTGCATGCGCTTGCCAGAGAATAGAGAGAGAGATACAGAGAGAGAGAAAGTGAGAAATCACCCCCCAGGGGGATGGCCATTCACAATTCCTCTCCTTTTAGGATTTTGGGCACATATGCACAGGCTTCTGTTGTGATTTTCAGGCTGCCAGGTCCAATTACTCAAACCATGGTCAGCCGATGTGGGAGTCCAGCACCTCAATCACCATGCCACCTGCTGCCCTGGACTATTCACTTATAATTGAATATAAAATCTAAAGTTAAAGATATTTATGGTGAGTTGATAGAGGAGGGGTGGGGGAGAAATTACTAGTGGCTGCGTGCTCAGCGCATGCCAGATCCCGCTCTGATGCTTATGCAGACGTGTACTCGGTTCTCAGCACAAGCTTTGGGAAGCTCCTGTGATCACTGTGACTTACAAAGGATGAACGGAAACAGCGCAGGACGTGCCAGTTCCCTGAGCCAGAAGGTGTTCTGCCCGCTAGGCTCTGCTGCCTCTAGAACCCACCATTGCCTCCCAGCAGCTGCAGCTGAGTTTTGCAACCCCACAGCAGGGAAACAGACTGACGGGGAGTGGTCTGGTTCTCCAAGGGCCCTCAGGGCCTATGGAGTCCTCAAGGGTGGACTCGAGACAATTCAACCCTGAGAACTCAACTCCTTCAGCTTGTTGGAATGCTCTCCTAAGAGTTCCAGGAAAGGCCATAGTGGGGGCTGGCAGATGGTATGGTGGTTAGGGTCCTCGGCTCCCACATGGCTGACCGTGATTCAAGTCCTGGACCTGAAGGCTTGCTTTCTCCCTTTCTCTCTCTCTCTCTCTCTCTCACTCTGGTCAAAATTAAAAAGTAAATAAAAAAGTTAAATAAAATAATTCTTTAAAAATAATAGTAATAAAAAAAAGTAATGTTTTCTAATTTAAAAATAATAATGATAATAAGTAAAATTAAATAATTCTTTTTTTTTAGAGAGATTTTTGCTATAGAGCACATGCACTTCCGAGAGAGAGAGAAAGGGAACCAGCAGTTAGCGTAATGGCTATGTCGCTGGACTCCCACGTAGTCGACCACGGTTTGCGTCCCAGACCTGGTGGCTTAAAACTCACGCCGGGAGCATGTGCGTGCGTGCCCAAGATCCCAAGAGGAGAATGGAGGAGAAGGGATTGCAATGTGACCATCCCCTCTGGGGGGTGATTTCTCGCTTTCTGTCTCTGTCTCTCTCTGTCTGTCTGGCAAGCGCACACGCCCTATAGCGAAAACCTCTCCAAAAAAAAAAAAAGAGAGAGAGAGAGAGAAAGCAAGAAATCACCCCCAAGAGGGATGACCATGCCCCCATCCTTTCTCCATTCTTCTCTTGGAATCTTGGGCATGCATGCACATGCACCCAGTGTGAGTTTTAAACCTCCAGGTCCGGAACTCAAATTGTGGTACACTATGTGAGAGTCCAGTGACATAAGCATTATGCCATCTGCTGGTCCCCAAATCAATCATTCTTTTTTTTTTTTTTTTTTAAGAATGATTTTATTTAACTTTATTTATTTCTTTTAATTTGACCAAAGAGGGACAGAGTGAAAGAGAAGGAACATGAGAAAGGAAGCCTCCAGGTCCAGGACTTGAACCATGGTAGGCCATGCAGGAGTCCAGCATCCTGAACCACCTGCCAGCCCCCTCAAATAAATAAGTCTTAGAAAAAAGAAAAGAAAAGAAAAAAGCCACAGGGATCATGTCTTCCCCAGCTTAAAGCTCAGTGGTTTTCTCAATGCTTTTCGGAAAGAATCTAAGACTCATAACTAGGCCCACAGGGCCCTGAAGATCTGGCCTCTGATCCTCCTCCGTCCTACATCTGCTCTGGCTCCTGCTAATCTTCAGCTTCTTAAAGAAACCAAACTCCTTCTTACCTCCCTGAATGCTGTTCTTTTGGCTGGAAAGCTCTGCCCTCAGCTCTTAGAATAAATGTTGCCTTCTCAGAACCAGCAGTTTACATAATGGCTATGTCACTGAACTCCCATGTAGTCAACCGCGGTTCAAGTCCCAGACCCGGTGGCTTAAACTCACGCCGGGTGCATGTACATGCGTGCCCAAGATCCCTAGAGGAGAATGGAGGAAAAGGGATTACAGCGTGGCCATCCCCCCGGGGGGTGATTTCACGCTTTCTATCTCTCTGTCTCTCTCTGTCTTTCTGGTGAGCGCCCTATAGCAAAAACCTTTCCAAAAAAAAAAAAAAGAAATGTTGCCTTCTCATCCTGAAAGTTTCTGCTTAAAAGTTCCATTCCTGGGTCAGCCTGTGGCCTGTTAGTTAAGGAAGCTGATTCCCACATGACTGATCACTGTTTGAATCCTGGACCTGGGAGCTTAAAAAAAATATGTTGGTTGTGAGTATGTGTGAGTGTGTGTGTGTGTGTGCCCAAAAATCCCTAAAGGAAAGAGAAATGGAGAAGGGACTAAGGCATGGCCATTCCCCATGTGGAACCGTTTTCTCCCTCTTCTTCTATTTTTTTTTAAAGAATCATTTTATTGAATTTTACTTATTTTAAATTTGACCAGAGAGGGACAGAAAGAGAGAGAGAGAGAAGTGAGAAAGCAAGCCACCAGGTCCAGGACTGGAACTGTGGTGAGCCATGTGGGAGTCCAGAGCCCTTAATCACCACGCCACCTGCAAGCCCCCATGTTTTCTCCCGCTTCTTTTTTCTGTCTCTGCCTGGCAAGTATACATACCCTCTGGTAAATTTAAAAGAAAAAAAAAAAGTGGGACCAGCAGTTAGCGTAATGGCTATGTCGCTTGACTCCCACGTAGTCGACCGCGGTTCGAGTCCCGGACCTGAGTCCCGGACCCGGTGGCTTAAACTCAAGTGGGGTAGGTGTGCATGCATGCGTGCCCAAGATCCCAAGAGGAGAATGGAGGAGAAGGGATTGCGGCATGGCCATCCCCCCCTGGGGGGTGATTTCTCGCTTTCTGTCTCTCTGTCTCTCTCTGTCTGGCGAGCGCACACGCCCTATAGCAAAAACCTCCCTCCACCCCTAAAAAAAAAGAAAAAGAAAAAAAATGTTACATTCCTTGGGCCAGTAGTACGGCCTATCAGTTAAGGGAGCCCCTCCCACATGGCTGACCATGGTCTAAATTCCAGCCCTAGAAGTTCAAAGAACACACTGGGTGTGTGTGCCCAAAATTCTGAGGGGATGGAGAAGGGATCGCGGTGTGACCATGTCCCATTGTGGGGTGCTTTCTCTCTCACCCTCTCTCTGGTAAGCACACATGCATTCTAGCAATTAAGAAAAAAGAAAACAAACAAAAATTACATTTCCCAGTTTTGCCCAACTTGGTGCTCAGAAGGTGCTAAGTGAGCATCTGTGGTTTGAATAAATGAATGAACGGTTGGGCCCCTGATGACAGCACCTGACAGCCTTCTTCCCCCACTGGGTGTTAGCCGCATGCCTGTGGCAAGGCATTAGCATAGGGATTATGAGCCTGCGCTCTGGAGACAGACAGAACTGGGTTCTAGTCCCAGCTCCTTTGCTTAATAGCCATGGGACGTGGGATCATTTCTTTTTTAACTCTATTTTATTTTAAAGAATTATTTTATTTAACTTTATTTATTTATGTTATGCCATAGTTCAAGTCAACACAGGAGAAAGAAGAGTATATTGAACCCTTTTACATAAAACCCAGATTCAGTCATCATCAATATATTGGCAATCTTGTTTCATCTATTCCTCCCCCATTCCATTATTTGTCCCCCTTAGGCATCTTTTTTTGGTACAAGTTTATTTAGATATAACTTGTTTGTTATAAAATGCACCTGTGTGACAATAAGTTAGTTGGGCCAGCAGATGTCGCTGGACTCCCACATAGTCAATTGCCATTCAAGTCCCAGACCAGGTGACTTAAAACCCACACTGGGGGACCAGCAGTTAGCGCAATGGCTGTGTCGCTGGACTCCCACGTAGTCGACTGTGGTTTGCGTCCTGGACCCAGTGGCTTAAACTCACGCCAGGCACATGTGCGTGCGTGCCCAAGATCCTGAGAGGAAAGTGGAGGAGAAGGGATTGCGGCATGGCCATCCCCCGGGGGGGTGATTTCTCGCTTTCTATCTCTCTGTCTCTCTCTGTCTGGTGAGCGCACATGCCCTATAGCAAAAACCTCTAAAAAACACAAAACAAACAAACAATAAAAAACTCACTCTGGGCATGTGTGTGAGTACCCAAGTGGAGAAGGCATTGTGGCATGGCCATCCCCCACCTGTGGTGATTTCTCACTTTCTGTCTGTCTTTCTCTCCGGTGAGTACATGTGGCTTATGACAAAAATCTCTCAAAAATAAAATAAAATAGGGGACCAGTAGATGACATAATGGTTTTATCACTGGACTTCCACATAGTCGACTGCAGTTCAAGTCCCAGATCCAGTGGCTTAAGATTCATGCCAGGTGCGTGTGCATACATATTCAGAATCCCAAGAGGAGAATGGAGGAGAAGGGACTGTGGGGTGGCCATCCCCCTGGGGGTGATTTCTTGGGGTTTTTTTGGTCTGTCTCTCTGTCTCTCCAGTGAACACACGTGCCCTAAGGCAAAAATCTCTCAAAATTAAATAAAATAGGGCCAGCAGTTGGCATGATGGTTAAGGCATTTGACACTCCCACATCGGTGACAATGATTTGAGCCCTGAACATGGTGGCTTGCTTTCTTACATTCCTTCCCCGGCCCTCCGTTTCTCTCTTTAAATTAAATAAATAATTTAAATAAATCAAATTAAAATAAATAAAGTTAAACAAAATAATTCTTTAAAAATAAATAAATAAAATAAAATAAAATACAGGACCAGCAGATGGCATAATGGTACATTGTTAGACTCCCATGCAGTTGACTACAGTTCAAGTCCTAGACCCGGTGGCTTAAGAGTCAGGTGTGTATGCCTGCGTGCCCAGAATCCCAAGAGAAGAATAGAGAAGGGACTGTGGCATAGCCATCCCCTGGGGGTATGATTCTTCACTTTCTGTCTCTCTGTGTCTCTGGCGGGCACACGCACCCAACAGCAAAAATATCTCTCTGAAAAAATAATAATTTAAATACATAAATTAAAAGTAAGCACTGACCATGTGTTGGCTAAAATGGAGCAACTTATCCCCATTCTTAGGATGACTGTGGACGGGGAGGCCCTGGAATGGGCTCAGCCCATGGGAGTCCTACCCTGGGGTGACAGATGGACCTGAAGACTGGGAAAGGTAGGGTGTTCACCTGTGTGCCTGTACCTTGTGCCTGTGCCACCAGAACGCTGGCATTCAGCTGCCACTCAAGGTCCCCTTCCTCCTCGGCACACTGCTGGGACTTCTCGCCGTAATTCTGGGCCTCCCAGGCCTGGTCCAGCTCCAAGTAGCAGCGGCCAATCTCATGGAACAGCCAGGTCTTCTCCAGGGTGGTTTTTGCCAGAGGGATCTTCTCCTCCCACCTGTGGATGTGAAGAACCAGGGTCAGCTTCTCCTGAAATCCTGCACTCGGCTTCAAGAGGCTGAACCTTGTTCTCCAACTACCAGTCCCGGGGTGGAGTTAGGAAGCATTAGCGTATATATTTATTTTTGTTGTTGCTGTTGTTAGTTTGCTTTGCTATAGAGTGCATGTGCTTGCTGGAGAGAGAGAAAGAGAGAGAGAGAGGGGAAGTGAAAAATCCCAGAAATCCCCCCCACCCCCCACCCCCGCCCCAGAGCAGATGGCCACCACACAATTCTTTCTCCTCCATTCTCCTCTTGGGATTTTGAACGTGCACACACATGCGCCTGGCATGCTTTTCAAGCAGATAGGGTCAGGACTTAAACCACACAGTCATCCCTGCAGGATCCAACACCTTAACCATTACCTGCTGGCCCTACATTAACGTATTTTAAAATCATCAAACCTATTTTGGTAATATCTTTTTATGGAGAGGTTTTTGCTACAGAGCACATGCGCTCGCCAGAAAGACAGAGACAGACAGAAAGCGAGAAATCCCCCACCGGGGGGATGGCCACGCCATGATCCCTTCTCCTCCATTCTCCTCTCAGGATTTTGGGCACACACGCACACGCACCCAGCGTGAGTTCAAGCCACTGGGTCCGGGACTCAAACCATGGTTGACTACATGGGAGTCAATGACATAACCATTATGCTAACTGCTGGTCCCTTTGGGACTGAATTTGATAGAACAGTTTAAAATGATGTTTATAGGGGCCGGCAGGTAGCATGGTGGTGAAGGGCGCTGGACTCCTACATAGCCAACTGCAGTTCAAGTCCCAGACCTGGTGGCTTACTTTCTCACTTTCCCTCTTCTCTCTCTCTCTCGCCCCTTCTCAGGTCAAATTAAATAAATAAATAAATAAATAAATAAAGTTAAATAAAAAAATTTTTAAAAAAATGACATTTAGCACCAGGGCTACCTCAGTGATGCAGTGGTATTGTTCTGTTCAAAAGAAGCTGGATCTGGGCTGTCAGGTGGTGTGGTGGTTAAGGACTGGAGTTCGAGTCCTGGACCTGGTGGCTTGATTTCTCACTTTCCCCCTCCCTCACTCTGCCCTCTCTGGTAAAATTAAAAATAAATAATTGTTTTTTGGGTTTTTTTTGTTTGTTTCTTTAATAAAAGAAGGGGCTAGCAGGTGGTGATTAAGGGTGCTAGACTCCCCCATGGCTGACTGAGACGAGGACCTGAAAGCTTGCTTTCTCACTTTCCCTCTCTCTCTCCTTCTCTCTCTCTCTGTGTCCCTCTCTGGTCAAATAAAAATAAGTAAATAAATAAATATAGTTAAATAAAATAATTTTTTAAAAACTATAAAACACTTAAAAAAAAAAAAAAAAAAGGAAGAAGCTGGATCCAGGCTGGCCCAAGCATAGTAGTTAAGCATTGTGCATAGGGAGCCAGATCCCACATGGCCGACCACGGTTTGAATCCCAGCCCTAGCAGCTTGAAAACCACACTAGGTATGTATGTGCATGTCCAGGATCCTGATGAGATGGAGAAATGGAGGAAAAAGGATTGCAGGCCCCGGTACGGAGACGTGTGTTGGGGGGTGAGCTCACTTTCTCTTTCTTTCTCTCTTACTATGTCTTGTGTGTGCCCACACTCTCGCGGGGAGGGGGGAGTATTATGAGAGAAAATCAACACTGAAGAAAGATTGGAATGAAAGATAAAGTATCAGGCAGGCTCTGTGGTCTGGTAAGACAGCTGGATCCCATATGGCTGACTCCATGGTTCAAGTCCTAGACCTGACAGCTTAAGAAACATACTGGGAGCATGTGTGTGCACGCTTGAAATCTCCTCTTCTCTGGAGGGGAAAGGATTGCGGCTTGACCATCCCCATGAGGTACTTACCCTCTCTCTCTGACACCAAAAAAGAAAAAAAAGAGAGAGAGAGAGAGAAAAACAAAAACATCAATAAAAAGCAGTATTAGAGTTAGTACTTGTCTTTGGATGGTGGGACTGAATAATTTGTTCTACTTTCTGTATTTTCCAAATTAACATTGCAGTAATAACATATTTGTTATAAAAGTTTATTACAAAAAGTGCTAGTGGGTAGATGAACTTTGATACTCCTCTGTCTTTCAGCACATAGACTCCAGGGCAATTCAGGAAACCAGATTACATGGAGCTACTGGTGAGCAAGTCTGTTTTGGTCAAGTGACAAGGCCTGAAAGATCCTCATTCTTGTCCATGTCAGGCGAGTGAGCCTAAGGAGCCAGCTCTCCCAGTGCAGGCTGGTCTGCTGGGCCAGGCCTCTCCCAAGGTTCCTGAAGCTGAGCACTTCCACTGGGCCGATAACCTGCCCCAGGGTTGCACCTTAACTGTCTAGCAGTGGGGCCATCTGAAAACTGTTTTCACTGATCCCACATGACCACACAGAGAGGTCTCAAAGGTTATTTGGTTCATTGGTCCTCGAACTTGACTAAAGGTAGGAATCACCTGGGCTGTTATTAGAAACAGATTCTTGGGACCAGCAGATGGTGTAATGGTTATGCAGCTAGACTCCCACATGGCCAACCACGGTTCAAGTCTTGGATCTGTAGGCTTGAAATTCACGCCAGGCATGTGTGTGTGCGTACCCAAAATTCCAAGAGGAGAATGGAGGAGAAGGGATTGCGGCGTGGCCATCCCACCTGAGTCCCGGACCCGGTGGCTTAAAACTCACGCCGGGCGCGTGTGCGTGCATGCCCAGGATCCCGAGAGGAGAACAGAGGAGAAGGGGTTGGGTCATGGCCATCCCACCTGAGTCCCGGACCCGGTGGCTTAAAACTCACGCCGGGCGCGTGTGCGTGCATGCCCAGGATCCCGAGAGGAGAACAGAGGAGAAGGGGTTGTGTCATGGCCAGCCCCCCTGACGGGTGAGTTCTCACTTTCTGTCTCTCTGTCTCTTTGGTGAGCTCATACTCTCTATAACAAAAATCTCTCAAAAGAAAAAGAAGGGAAAGAAAAAGAAAAAAAGAAAAGAAACAGATTCCTAAGCTCTAACTCAGACCTGTAGGACAGAACTTCCAGAGGAGAGGGCCAGTAACTCATACACCTAACATATTCCATGTGATTCTTATCACTTGGAAGTGTTGAGAAAAATGCTGATTCTAGGGACCAGTAGTTAGCGTAATGGCTATGTCTCTGGACTCAAATGTAGTTGATCGCGGTTCGAGTCCCAGACCTGGTGGCTTAAACTCACGCCAGGCACATGTGCATGCATGCCCAAGATCCTGAGAGGAGAATGGAGGAGAAGGGATTGCGGCGTGGCCATCCCCCCTGGGGGGTGATTTCTCGCTTTCTGTCTCTCTGTCTCTCTCTTTCTGGAGAGCACGCATGCCCTATAGCAAAAACCTCTCTATAAAGAAAAAAGAAAAAAAGAAACAGATTTCCCTAATTTTTTTTTTTCTTTTTAGACTTGCCATACGGTATGTGCACATATCAGAGAGAGAAGGAAAGTGAGAAATCATCTCCCAGAGGGGATGGCCATGCTGCAATCCCTTTTCCTCCAGTCTTCTCTTAAGATTTTGGGTATGCACACACACATGCCTGGAATGTTATTCAGGCTGCTGGGTCTGGGGTCCCATATGGGATTCAGCACCTTAACCATCACATCACCTGCTGGCCCCACAACTGTAAACGATTTTTAATTGACACGTAGATTATCCACATTTATGGAGTACAGTGTGGTTTTCAGTATATGAATACAACATGTAATGATAAAATCAGAGCAATTAGCACATCTAGTCTCTAACATTTATCATTGCTTTTTGTTTGCTTGTTTTTAGTTGCCAGAGGGCAAGTGTACTCACCAGAGAGGGAGCGAGAGAAAGCACTCCCCAATAGGGCTCAGTCTTGCTGTAAACCTCTTCCCTCCATTCCTCCATTGTATCAGGATTTTGGCACGCACAGGTGCCTGGCACATTTATCAAACTGCTGGGGCCAGGATTGGAACTGTGATTGCCATGTGGCGGGATTGTTGGGATAGTCTGTTCCTTATTAGCTGAGGAAGCCCAGAGCTCACAGGCTTGCCAACCACCTCCTAGCAGACCTGGCAGAGACAGGAGCCAAGGGCTTCTGGTACCTTGCTGCCTGGCTTTCTGGGCCCATGCTGGGATTCCAGTGTGAGGTCCAGGGTGGGATAGGAGCGGTCCTTGGTCACTCACGTGTCAATGGCTTGCTGGAATTTCCCAACTCTGGCAAAAACCCTGCCAATGTTATCAAGGGCTCTTGATTTTGCGTCAGGAAGGTCACTGCGGAGAGGAAGCAAAACAGGCCATTCAGTAGAAATCAGTTGCTCTAGGCATTGTGGAGACAGGAAGCCGGCAAAGCAGAGACCCTGGCCTCAGAGATACAGGACTGCAGTCAGAGGGAGGATGCCTGAACTCTCCTGTCCTGGGGCCAAGAATATACTCTATCGGAAATTTTCTGGCTGATATCATTCAATAGATTACAAAAACATCTCTTTGATTCAGCAATTCCCCTTCCAGGAACTTATCTCAAAAGGATAATTTGACAAGGGCACTCGTTAAGATGCTGTTTAGGGACCAGCAGTTAGCATAATGGCTATGTCGCTGGACTCCCATGTAGTCGACCATTGTTTGAGTCCTGGACCCGGTGGCTTAAACTCATGCGGGGCATGTGTGCGTGCGTTCCCAAGATTTGGAGAGGATATTGGAGGAAAAGGGATTGCAGCATGGCCATACCCTCTGGGGGGTGATTTCTTGCATTCTGTCTCTCTGTCTCTCTCTGTCTTCCTGGCGAGTACACACGCCTTAGAGCAAAAACCTCTCCCAAAAAAAAGATGCTGTTTATAATAATAAATATGGGGGAGAGGCAGCAGGTGGCATAGTGTCTAAGGTGCTGGATTCCCACATGGTCGACTGTGGTTTGAGTCCCAAACCTGGTAGCTTAAAACTCATGCTGGGCACATGTGCATGTGTGCCCAAGATCCCAAGAGGAGGATGGAGAAAAAGGGACTGCTGCATGGCTATCCCCCCTGCAGGGTGGTTTCTTACTTTTTCTCTCTCTGTCTCTGTGTCTCTGTTGAGCACATGCACCCTATAGCAAAAATCTCCCTAAAATAGTAATAATAATAAACATCGGAAACAATCTAAATGTTACTAATGCCCTCACAATGGCATTTTTTATGTACGGGAAAAAAAATCCAGGTATATTAAGTTAAAAAGCCAGACTTTTGGGCCTGCAAGTGGCATGGTGGCTAAGGCTTTGGGCTCCTACAATGGCCAACTGCAGTTTGAGTCCCAGACCTGGCAGCTCGCTTTCTCACTCTCTCTCTTTCTAGCTCCCCCACCAAGTGAATGCATGTGTCCTATAGCAAATTAAAAATAATAAGAAAAAAGAAAGAAAGTCAGATTTCAGGAGAGTATGCTATGTATATTGCCCCAGTGGTGTTAAGACGGTATGTGGGCTTGAAGCAAACACTTGCTCCTGGCTTTTTTTTTTTTTTTAAGAGAAATTTTTGCTATAGGGCATGTACGTTCGCCAGAAAGACAGAGACAGACAGAGAGACAGAACGTGAGAAATCACCCCCCAGGGGGGTGGCAATGCAGCAATCCCTTCTCCTCTTTGGAATTTTAGATACACACACACACACACACACACACGCCTAGTGTGAGTTTTAAGTCGCCAAGTTGGGATGCAAATCATAGTCGACTATGTTGAGTCCAGCGACATAACCATTATGCCATCTGCTGGTCCCCCTCCTGGCTCTCAAGGTGGACAATGGGACCACTAGCCAAGGAGGGTGATTTCTCGCTTTCTGTCTCTCTGTCTCTCTCTGTCTCTCTCTGTCTCTCTGGCGAGCACACGTACCCAATAGCAAAAACCTCTCAAAAAATAAATAATAAATAAAATTGAGTAAATAATTTTTTTTTTGGAGAGATTTTTGGTATAGGGTGCATACGTTTGCTAGAAAGACAGAGACAGACAGAGAGACAGAAAGCGAGAAATTACTCCCCAGGGGAGTTGGCCACACGCTGGTCCCGAGTGAATAATTCTTTTTTTTTCTAAAGAATTGTTTTTAATTTTATTTATTCATTCATTTTATTTTCATTTGACCAAAGAGAGACACAGAGAGGAAAAGTAAGAAAGCAAACCGCCAGGTCTGGGACCCAAACTGTGGTTGGCCATGTGGGAGTGTCCAGCACCTTAACCACCACACCACCTGCTGGTCTTCCCCGCTCCCCAGTGAATAATTCCTTAAAAAAAAGATACTTGGGGACGCAGCCGGCAGGTAGTATGGTGGTTTAGGTGCTGGGCTCCCACATGGCTGGCTGTAGTTCAAGTCTGGACCTGGCAGTTTGTTTTCTCTCTCTCCAGCTCTTGACTTGAACCATGGTCAGCCATGTGGGAATGTCCAGCGCCTTAACCACCACGCCACCTGCTGGTCCCCCTTAAATAAATAATTATTTTTTTAAAAAAAATTAGGTATTTGGGTGCCAACAGATGGTGTGGTGGTTAAGATGCTAGATTTTCAGGACCAGCAGCTGGCGTGGTGGTTAAGGTGCTGGACACTCCCACATGGCCGACCACTGTTTGAGTCCTGGACCTGGTGGTTTGCTTTCTCACTTTCCCTCTCTCTCTGGTCAAATTAAAATAAATGAATGAATAAAATAAAATTAAATTTAAAAAAATTATTTAAAAAGATGACTCCAGGGCTGGCAGGTGGCGTGGTGGTTGAGGACGCTGGACTATCACATGGTTGACTGTGGTTTGAGTCCCAGGCCTGGCAGCTTGCTTTCTCACTTTCTCTTTTTCTCTCTCACTCTGTCCCTTTCTGATTGACTTAAAATAAGTAAATAAATAAAGTTAAATAAAACAATTATTAAAAAAAAAACAAAAACAAACAAACAAACAAACAAAAAACGACTCCAAAAGCTAGAACCAGGATGCCCGGAAAGCAATGGAACCTCTGCAAGAAGCCACTGAGGCTTGAGAGGGGTTCACTTCTGGAAGAAGTGATATGCTGTGGCCATGTACACCAGGCACTGTTCCAAGTTCTGCACACGTGCTTTGCATTTCACTCTCCCTTATTTCACCCTCTCTTCCACCCTCGAGGATGGGTGCTCCTCTCACGCCCACTGTCTCTGAGACCGACAGAGCTGAAGTGACTTGCCTAAGCTGGGAGGTGTGAGTTCTGAAGCCCAGGGGCCCTGCTTGGTGAGACCCCTGCTCACTTCGCCAAGCCTCCTCTTGGCCACTCCGCCCCTGGCAATACCCTGTGTCCTCCAGCCTTAAGCTTCCTCCTGCCTCAGGGCCTTCCCACAGGCCAGGTGTGTTCCCTAACACCCAGTCAAGTCCTGGAATATGTTTCTCGTAGCACCCGATCCTGTGCTTTTCCTTCATGACACTGATCACCACGGCAATTAATTAGCCATGTTACTTTGTGTGGCATCTGCAGGGAAATGACCCTTGTGTCTAGTCACTGCAGTGTTCCCAATGCAAGCAGCATCTGGCGTGTCTGGGCTTGATGTATACGTATGGAGATGACACAAGAATGAAAACATCCCTTAGAGCCAAATGCTCCATTGGGAGCTTTTCAGAGTTCTGAGCCACCATCTTCTTCTTGGTGGCAAAAAGGTTTGCCCCCTACCCTCGGTTCTAAGCAAGTGGTCCCTAACTCCAGGGGAATCCATCTGAGGCATGCTGGGCAGAAAACAGGAGCTAAGCCACCAGCAGCCCTTCCAAAGGTTGAGATACAGCCCAAGCCCCACTCCACTGCAGGTCTGGGCCTTGACTTGACCCGAAGCACTCACTATTCCTTGGCAATCTCCAGGTCCTTTCTGTGGCTCTGCAGGGCGGCTACCATCTGTCCCAGCTCAATCTGGGCATTCCCGATGCAGCTGTACAAGTTGCCAACCAGTTCATCCTTATTGGGTACCTCTTCTTTGTTCCATTCCAGCACCTTCTTCAGCACTTTCTCAGCTTTCTGAAGACTGCCCTCGGCACTGCCGCTGGTCAGCACTGCGAAGTGGAGACAATGTGAGGGTGAGGGGGGCCTCCTTTTGGCTGATGGGGTAACTCCTCTCCCCCAGACGCCACCCACCAGCCAGCGAGGCCAGGGCTCAGGCTATAGTGTTGCTCCCTCCCCACTGTGGTAAGGGACCAGAGGCATCCGCCAGCCCTCTGAGACCACCACCACACCGACGTGAGACACCACCCACACATGTCAATGTCCTCGAGACTCTTGAGGATGTAACGGGCTGTCTGCGAGGGACGGCGTTTGCGGTCCCGCAGCCACTTTTCTTGCATCAGCTTCCGGTCCCGCTCCCTGGCATAGATGGGTTTCTGCTGCCTCCAGAAGTCACTGCGAGTGTCCAAGTAGTTGATGCCTGTCATGATGAGGTCCTCCACAGTCAGGCCTCCCTTGATGGTGCCTCTGATCAGGTCTGCAGGGAAGGCATGTGAGGAAGCGCCATGAGAACAGGAGTCTAAGGGAGTCGTCTCCTCTAGGCTCTGGGTCCCTGCTGCAGGGCCCTCTTAGAGCTCTGCGTGGAGTTGCAGAGACTGAGGAAGTGAAGACACAGGGGTGGTGGCACATTGGTCTTTCTGAGCCAAGATGAGGCCAGTGCCTGCCTTCAGTGACTCCTGGGGTACAGGCCCTTTAGGACAAGATATGAGGAGCTAGCAAAAGGGACAGCGAAGGGATAGCTCTCTGAGAAGCCACGAGGGCTCTCCTGCTTCAAGTAGTGTCCTCAGAGAAGGCTGAATGCACATGCAGGAGCTGACCCAGGTTGCTTGTGCCAAGAGATTTCCCAGGTGCCAAGTGGACTTGTGCATGCTGGGAGCTGGAGGGGTGTGCCCAAGTCCTGCCTACTGCCTACTGGGTGGTTAGCACTGGTAGCAAAACTGCAAGACCACTTGGGGTTATATACAGGCCACCTCTGCCCTCCATGCAGGCCCTCTGGAGAGCAAGAGGTTCAGGCCTGTCACCAAGGAGATGTGCCAGCAATGAGGCTGTCCCCACATCACTGCTCTGTAGGGAACCCTGCGCATGACCTTGGAAAGCCAGTTCTGGGAGAAAGGCATTTGATTCAAGAGTAGCTAACCCCTGCTCAGGCTTATCAGCTAACGGCACTGCTCCTGCCCCCAAGTTTATGTGAGACATTCATTTCAATGCTGTGCACTATGTCCGGGAAATGGCTCTAGAAAGAGGGCTGGACTGGAGATTGGCAAGCCTGGGTTCTGGGGCTGATTCCACACTTCATTTAATTTTGACCCTGGACAAGTTACTTCTCATTCACAGTCTCCATTTCCTTTCTCATAAAAGGAGGAATTGGATCAGTTTCAGAATATTCTAGTACTGGGACCAGCAGTTAGCATAATGGTTATGTCGTCGAACTCCCATGTAGCTGAACGTGGTTCGAGTCCCAGACCCAGTGGCTTAAACTCATGCCGGGCGCATGTGCATTATGTGCCCAATATCCCGAGAAGTGAATAGAGGAGAAGGGATTGCGGTGTGGCCATCTTCCCCAGGGGGTGATTTCTTGCTTTCTGTCTCTCTGTCTCTCTCTGTCTTTCTGGTGAGTGCATGCGCCCTATAGCAAAAATCTCTCCAAAAAAAAAAAAAAAGAATATTCTAGTACTAATACCCTCTGGCTAGAGCACCTGTTGCTGGGCTCCTTCATCCACTACACAGATAAGGCGCAGGAGATGTCCCTTCCAGGACTATGGTGGTAAAGGAGCTCAGGTTTCTGTCATTCCCACATAGGGTACTGCTGTGTTTAAATGCATTGGCTCAGGCCAGCAGTTGGTGTGGTGGTTAAGAGCACTGGACTTCCACATGGCTGACCGCAGTTCTAGTCCTGGACTTGGCGGCTTGCTTTCCACTTTCTCTCTCTCTCTGGTCAAATAAAAAATAATAATGACAAATAAAGTAAAGGAAATAATTAAAAATAAATAAATAAATGAAATGGCTCTGAGGTTAGACTTTCTGGATTCAAATATGAGCCATGTTGGAAACCAGCAGGTGGTGTGGCGGGTGAGGAACCGGAACCCCCCCCCTGGCTGACCATGGTTCCTGGACTGGACCTGGTGGCTTGCTTTCTAACTTTCTCTCTCTTTCTGTGTATCTCTCTCTCTGGTCAAGTTAAAATAAATCAATGAACAAATAAAATAAAATAATTATTTTAAAAAAAATGTGAGCCAGGGGACTAGCAGATGGCATGGTGGTTAAGGTGCTGAACACTCCCACATAGCTGACCATGGTTCAAGTCTCAGACCTGGCAGCTTGCTTCCTCACTTGCCCTTTCTTTCTGTGTCTCTCTGGTTAAAAAAAAAAAAAAAAAAGAGAGAGAGAGAGATGAATAATAAAATTAAATAAATAATTTAAAAATATATGAGCCATGTCTAGCCTCAGTTTCCTCATGCATAAAATGAAAGTGCTAGCAAAATCTTAGATTTTGTCCATATGCACACGTCAGCTATAGTCACATGATAGGCTCTGCCTCTGTCCCCTGCATTATGCACCCACCCCAGATTTCCTTTGCCTAAGTCCCTGCTGTCAACAAAGCGTCTGAGACCTTCATCCAAAAGGAGCTTCTCCAGATATTCCTTGTCCACGTAGAGCTCCCCCAGGAGCTGACGGAAAGTCTTTTCACTCTTGAATGAGCCCTTCCGCTTAGACTCTCTCTTGGTGTGATGGGAGAGCTGTTTCATGGGATGAGGCTTCTGCTGGGCTTTCATATTCTGGAAAACAGAGCAATACCCAGCACAGCCTCAGCGAGGAGCAGAGAACCCAGCCTCAGCCTCACAGTCTGTGATCCCAGATTCCTTCCCTCCAGCACCTCACCGGGGGCTGAGGACCGTGATGTAGGTTGGTTGGGCAACAACTAGACTCCCAGGACCCCTCCAGTGCTGGAGGCATATCCCACAGCTGCCCGTGATATCAGGCAAGAGGGCCACTAAGCTTCTTGGGCACACATGGCCTCAGAACCAGGGACACGGCCACAGAATCAGGGCTCTTACCTCAGCCTGCTTGCTTAAGAAGGCGAGGTCTCCTTTGTTCTCCAACTTAATCGAGGAGGGACCTGCAGATAGAAGATAGGAGTTGCAGCTCAGGCGGGCCAGGCTCTTGGGCACGACCCATCACATATTTTTCTGTGGAAACAATGACCTTTGGCAGGGAGGTGTTGGAGGCTGTGGTAAAGCTGGTACCGAGCCGGCCTAGCAGACAATTGGCATAGGCCTTGGGTACATACTCTTCTAGGAGCTAGACAGCCTCCACCAGCCCAAGGCCATGGCAGCTAGATTTCCAAACAAAAGAAGGCCCTGGGCACAGGGGGAACTCTGTCCTGTGTCATTTCTACATGCTGCCACCCACAGTGGTGAGCCCTCACTCACTTCTCTCCTCCTGCTGAGCTGATGGGGAAGACTAACCCTTGGTACAGTCATGGTAAGGAAGGATGCCGGGGACTAGGGAAGGTGAGTTCAGGCTCCTGTGCTATCTGAGGACTCCAGGCTAATGATAAGACTTCTTCAGAATAGCCCTTCCTGGGGCCAGCAGGTGGCCTAGTGGTTGAAGTGCTGGACTCCCACATGGTCAACCATGGTTTGAGTCCTGGACCTGGCGCTTGCTTTCTCACTTTCCCACTTTTTCTCTCTCTCCATGTCTCTCTCTGGTCAGATTAAAAAAATAATAAGTAAAATGAAACAAAAACAGCCCTTCCAATCTGGCTTTAAGGAAAAGCAGAGACTGCATGCTCAGTACAGTGGGTCAGGACCATCCTCCCAGTGGTACTCTCTAATCTTCAACATCAATAGCAGCCGAATCTAAGTTTGGGGCTCCCTATAGGCCTGGTGGTGGTTGCCCTCCCACAGGCCATCAGGACTCCCTCTAAACCTATAGATTCCAAGAAGCTTTTCTGGGTAAGGTAGAGGCCCCAAGATCACTCACTTCCCACTGAGTTGTTGATGGCTTCCTGGGCTTTCTGAATCCCAACTTTGAATTCCCGATCAGGCCGCAGCTTGTAGCCCCGATGATAGAACACCAAGGCAAACTCAAAATCTCCCATGGTGTATAGGGTCTCAGCCTTTTGTAAAATCCCCTGAAAGGAAAGGAGGTGAAATCAAGGTGGAGCAAGAAGGCCTCATAGGACTCAACTGTGGTGGAACAGAAGGGTCCTCGACTTCCTCATCAGAAAATGAGAATGCTAGCAAAATCTGCAGAGCCTGTCCATAGGCACATGTCAGCTAATACCGTATGGCAGGCTCTGCCTCTCGCCCTGGCATGAAGCATCCACCTAGGTTGCCAATATCCTGTCCAAAACACTTTGTTCCAAGGACTAACCTCCCCATCAGGGTCAAAGTTGGGATACAGGGGGCAAGTTAAGGAATAGGGAGCTAGGCCAGTGACCTATGAAAAGAACATGACATCAAATACGAGGCGGTCTGCTGGTCTTCAGCTATGTATAACCAGAGGCTGCCGCAGGGAAGGGCATAGGTGAAAGCAAGACTGAATCCTCCACCCAGGCAGACACCTTGCAGAACGTCGGATCACTCTGCAGTGACGCTTCAGCATCTTTCAGGGATTTTTCCAACTCTCCCATCTTCAGGAAGCACTTGGAACGGGCAACCAGGCAGTTCTTGTCTCCATTCTGCAGATGGAGAGCCTGAGAAAAGAACCATTCATGCTGACAAGAAGCAGAGCCAGGGAGAAGCTTCCCTGGAAAGGACAGTCTAGATCCTCGCGCAGAATTCCAGGGGACTTTTGGGGGCCAACAAACAGGCCTATGGATTTTGTTGTTGTTGACAGAGAGACAGAAAGAGAGAAATCACCCCCCAGGGTGATGGTCACCCTGCCATATCTCCTCCATTCTCTTGTCAGGATTTTGAGCATGCACGCACACATGCTTGTTACGATTTTCAAGCTGCTGGGTCCAGGACCTGAACCACGTGGTTAGCCATGTGGGATCCAACATCTTAACCCCCATGCCACCTGCTAGCCCAGGCCTCTGCATCTTTTCAGAGGATTACACAATAGCATGACAACACTGATCTTTGCTCAATCAGCTTGACTATCTGCATGCTTGACTCATCTTGAACACGGTCGAATCACAGCCATGGTGGCAGCTACTGGTCGAGACATAGGAATATGCTGCTCTGGATATGCTGGCTTTCTGCCAAGGCCTGAGTTTCCCCCTCATTCACTCAGGTAACAGAACTTTAGGATGTTTTTGCACACCAAATTCAACTGCAAGCCAGAAATGGCCACACAACACACTCAAAATACATTTAGAAAGCTAAGCATTCTGGGGACCAGCAGATAGCATAATAGTTATGTCACTGGACTCCCATGTAGTCGACTACAGTGCAAGTCATGGACCTGGAGGCTTAAAACTCATGCCAGGTGTGTATGCATGTGCACCCAAAATCCCAAGAGGAAAATGGAAAAAAAGGGATTGTGGCATGGGCACCTCTCTTGGGGGGTGATTTCTCACTTTCTGTCTCTCTGTCTCTCCAGTGAGTGCACACATGCCCTATAGCAAAAATTTCTCTTACATATATACATTTTTTTTTAAAAAAGGTTAAGCATTCTAAAGGTAAACAAAATGGATTTGAGGACAACTGGCACCTGGATTACCCATTCCACTAACCTTCTCTTTTTATGTAGCTAATTGAGAACTCACCACTACTTCAGAGTTAAGATGAAAATGCCAGAAAATGGAAACTGGCATTTGGACCCTAAAATGGGGGTGGCCAATCACCCACTCCTTGTGTCCTTTCTTTTTTAATTATTTTATTGAACTTTATTTATTTTTATTTATTTTAATTTAACCAGAGAGGGACAGAGTGAGAGAGAGAGAGGGAACGTGAGAAAGCAAGACACCATGTCTGAGACTCAATCTGCAGTCGGCCATATATGAGTCCAGCGCCCTTAACCACCACGCCACCTGCTGGCCCCTCGTGTCCTTTCTTCTTCTGTTTGAGATCATTACCTTAGTGTGCAGTATACTGTCCTGCCTGAGGCATCAGGCTGTACCCAGCCCTTTCTAAGACTTCATGATTTTCTAGGAAGAGGAAGTAGCTACTGTGTTTCCTGGAAAGAGACCACTTCTCATCCAAGGCTACCTTCCCTCAGGGTATTCTTTCTCTCTGCTTGGGCTTCTCCAGGATGGGGCCTGGTCAGGCAAGAGGAGAATGGGTGGAGAAAGGGTCCTGAACTCAATTGTTCTCCCACCTGGTTATCATTTCTGGTTTTAGAGTGTGGCTGGTGATTGAAATGGACAAAAGACTCTGGGTCAGCAGTTGCGGAGCTTGACTTAAGGCGAAGTCTTGGGACTGGTTTGAGAGCTGTTACACCACTCTATTTAGAATAAGAAGTGGGGCATTTATAGCAAAATCAGATGCAGTGGCACAGGCTATGAAGTGCTGCTGTGTGATGCCAGGGCCATATGGGAAGGCCTGGGGTTTGGGTCCTGGGTCACCAGAAATGCACCCCACGTGCACCTATAATCCTTGCTGGAAGGTTGAGGGGAGGATCACAGCATGGAGGAACCTCACTTGGGGTCCCTGTCTCTTTCAAATGAAGTTAATAAACTTCAAACTAAGAGAGCATCTTACAGTTTACTTTGGCAAGAGTATAGGCAGTTAGCACCTCGGCCCTGGAGTCTGAGGGCTTGGTTCTGAACCTTTCCTCTGCCACTTGCTAGTTCAGTAGCCCGGGCATATTGCTCAACTTCTGTATGTGTTTCCTCATCGATACAATGGAGTAATAACAGTACTTCCCTCACAGGCGTGTGCTGCGCTCAGCGGTGTGCCCATGTCCTACACAGCACCCACCTGCCTTGAGGTCACACTGTTACCAAAACAGTGTTACTTACTGACCCCTTCTATAAGCGACTAATGCCAGAGGCTTGGCAGCTTCTACACCCAGCCTCCCAGACAGTCTCCAGGTCATGAAGGGAAACTGAGGCTGATCTGTGGAAGGAGGCCGATTAATCACAAGCTTTCAAGTAAAAGTAGAGGAAGAAGGGCCAGCAGGTGGCATGGTAATTCAGGCCCTGGACTCCCACATGGCTGACAGTGGTTTCTTTCTTTTTTTTTTTTTTTTTTTT